AAATGTCAAGTTTTAGGGTTTTACACAGAATTAAACCAAACAACATGAATCAAACATGCACTTTATTTATTTCCACTAAATAACAAAAGTACATCAAAATGATTGAAGCTAAGGGCATACAAAATTGTCTAACAATACCTACCCTGTCAGAGGCCAGTGGGCCTGATGCAACGGAATTCTGTTATAAGGAGCCTATTCTCAAAGAACGAGGTATCATCTATCACTCGCGCTATCTGCACTCTTAGCCTTCACCTTCTCCTTGCTTCTTCCACAGAATACTAATTTAAGCGTCGGAGTGTTCCCACCGGGCAAGCCCCCGGGGATTCTTCTTCTTCTTCATCTCAGGTACCCTTTGGGAGCCACGCAAGTGCCAACTAGGAGTGACCGGATTGCGCACCATTACTTTTCAAATATTTAATAATATATAATAGCTTTAAATAATTAAAATTCAAATAATCAAAAAATTAAATATTTTATAGATTATTTAAATATTTAAATAACTAAATATTTATAAATAACTAAATAAACATTAGGGTCAACATTGCCATTTTCCACAATCATCTAATGGAAGATTAATTAAATCCATTGCAAATTATTAGTGGTGTTTTAGTAAAATGCTAACTAAAGGATAAAATTTAGTAAATCCATGAAACTATAAGGGGTATTTTAGTAAATGACCCTTTTTATTATTTAGCTTTTGCTTAATAAATCCCGTGCATCGCACAGATCCCCGCTAGTTGTATTTTAAATTATTATTTATTGTATTTTTGTGATAAATATAATACCTGAGTTGGTCAGTTTATATTGGTTCAAAATATTTAAAATTAAAAAATTAAATTTAAATTAAAAAAAATGCAATGGTATATTATAAAAATAAATCAAAAATTTTAAATTTACAATATAAAATTTTTAAGACTAAGAAATATGGGAATTTTTCCACTTTCTCGTATTAAAAATTATATTTAAAATATAAAAATTAATATATATTTATGGTTGGGTCAATTCGATATTGGTTGGTCTACAAATGGCCAAATTGAAATTGACTCGACCTGGTCGGGTTGGGAAATTGCTGAATTGAAGCCAATGGGAAATATTAGAAAACCGATCAACTCAGGTCGAGTTGGTCGAGTTCATCGGATTGATGAATAACCCTAATTATTGAAATTAATTATTGTTATTTTTATATTGTAAAAAAATATTAAAAGTAGATTATAAAATATAAAGAATTAATAATTATTTAAAAAATTAAAATATAAAACAATTCTTTACTCTTATTTGTTTCTATTATTTAACTTTCGCTTAACAAAGTGTATGGATCTCACGGTCCCCTTAGTATTATCAAATCTGTTTTAATTATTTCGAAGTCCTTAATAAAATTTTTAAAGTTAAAAGCCATTATAGATTGCATGTACAAAGATAGTTTCCTCTACGAAGTTCGAGATGAGAAAGGTTTTGAAAAAATTCAACTGAGAAAAATGGTTGGTTACAAGGCGGGAGTTAACAAATGTGATGGGGATAAATCTCTCAGCGGTATTTTTGGAGAAGGCAGCGATAATCTCTCTAAAGAATTTCAATATAATTAGTTAAGATAAAATAAGATAGGATTTACAGAAACTTGTGAAAATTTTCTAACAAAAAAAAAAAAAAAACAGATCATTCCTATAGAGTTTCCCTATAAATTTGACTCTCCAAATTCAATTAAAGCTTGTAGAGACGGAGTTGGGATTCTCGACATGGCTCCCTCCTCATTTTTCCTAGCCTTCTTTCTCCTTTCTTGTGTTTCTGCAACAGATTTTCCTGTTTATCTGAATAACTTCACATACGTCTGTGACCCTTCGAGATTGTCCGACTTAGGATTGGATGTCTCAAACTTCGTGTTCTGCAACAAATCCCTCCCACTGGAGGCAAGGGCTAAGGACTTGGTAGATAGAATGAGCCTATCTGAGAAGACGCAACAACTCGGAAACAGTGCAGCCGGGGTCCCTAGGCTTGGCCTACCCAGTTACGAATGGTGGTCTGAGGCTCTCCATGGAGTTACCAGCTCAGGTCGTGGTACCCACTTTGATCAGGCTGTTCCCGGAGGAACAAGCTTTCCCACTGTTATTCTCAGCGCTGCATCTTTCAATGCATCACTGTGGAAGAACATGGGCCAGGTAACAAATATATAAAAACTAGTAAGAATATTCTCTCCTCTTCTCGGTTTAGAAAAATCTCAATCAATTCATGTTTCAATGGCCATTTCAGGTTGTCTCGACGGAGGCAAGAGCTCTGTACAACTTGGGTCGTGCTGGATTGACTTACTGGAGTCCAAACATTAATGTGATAAGGGATCCAAGATGGGGAAGAGTGATGGAGACACCAGGAGAAGATCCGTTTGTTGTGGGTACTTACGCAGTGAACTACGTTAGAGGTTTGCAAGACATCGAGGGACAGGAAAACCCAAAGGATTTGAACTCTAGGCCTCTGAAGGTCTCTTCATGTTGTAAGCATTATGCTGCTTATGATGTTGACCACTGGTATGGAGTTGATCGCAGAGGTTTTGATGCAAGGGTACGTAAGAATTAATTCATTTTTACTTAGTTTTTATGAACTGAGATACGATTTTTGGTAAAGTTATGGTTTGTTTGATTTGTTTTTGCTTTTCTTTTGTGAAAGGTTGCCGAGCAAGATATGTTGGAAACATTTTTGCGTCCCTTTGAGATGTGCGTCAAGGAAGGAGATGCTAGTTGTGTTATGTGCTCCTTCAACAAGATTAATGGCATCCCTGCTTGTGCTGATCCAAGGCTCCTGAAGGAAACCATCAGAGGAGATTGGGGTCTACGCGGGTACTGAGATTTCTATACTTTAATGATGATTTCATTTTAATGGAGTAGTTGCAGTAAGATTATTAGACTAAAAATTGATTATTTCTTGAAGCTACATCGTGTCAGATTGTGATTCAGTCCAAGTGATTGTTGAAAACAACAAATGGCTCGGCGATTCACCTGAGGGTGGTGTTGCTCAAGCTATGAAAGCAGGCAAGTTCTTACATTAGTTTCTGATTTTACCGAATATTAGATCTCTTTTTCTTTTCTTTTTAATGGTCGATCTAGTGTTTAATTAGTATGATCACTACTTGGAATTTCAGGCTTGGATTTGGACTGTGGATGGCCATACTTGTCATACTACTCCAACTACACTTTGAACGCAACAAAAATAGGAAGAATCAAGGAGGCAGACATAGACAAGGCTTTGATCAATCTCTATGTTTTGCTCATGAGAGTTGGTTACTTTGATGGCAGCCCTTCTTTCAAATCTCTTGGAAAGGACGATATCTGTGCCGATGTCCACATTGAGCTTGCAGCTCAGGCAGCCAGGGAAGGAATTGTTCTGCTCAAGAATGACAACGCCACCTTGCCTCTGAGCTCCAATACCTTCAAAAATCTTGCTTTGGTTGGGCCACATGCAAATGCTACCGAAGTCATGATTGGAAACTATGCTGGTAAGGAATCGATGTGGTCTAAAATTGTATCAGTCTGGTGATTCAGAACTTATATTGATGAAGTTGTGTTACTGCATATATGTAGGTCCTGCGTGCAGATACATCTCTCCCATTGATGGTTTCTCTGCATTTGCTAAAGTTCAATATGCAATGGGATGTGCTGATGTTGCTTGCGCAAGCGGCAGCTTGATGACCCCAGCCATGGATTTAGCAAAGAATGCAGATGCAACCATAATTATTGTGGGGTTGGATTTGTCAATTGAAGCAGAGGGTAGAGACCGGGTCGACTTCTTCCTTCCTGGACACCAGACCCATTTGGTGAACGAGGTTGCAAATGTTGCCAAAGGACCAGTTATTTTGGTGGTCATGGCTTCTGGTACTATTGACATTTCGTTTGCCAAGGATAACCCTAAAATCAAAGCCATTCTCTGGGTTGGTTATCCTGGCCAAGAAGGTGGACGTGCCATTGCTGATGTTGTTTATGGAAAATACAACCCTGGTAATTAATTTAATTCTGACTAATTAGTCGATTACCTTCTCTGATCATGCTCATTTATTTCATTATCTGATTAACTTTCTGTTCTGTTTGTTGATTTATTAGGTGGAAAGCTACCAGTTACATGGTACCCTGCTGATTATGTAGACCAGCTACCCTTGACATCCATGCAACTAAGGCCTGATGATGAGCTGGGTTACCCAGGAAGAACTTACAAATTCTACAATGGCTCCACCGTCTACCCATTTGGTTATGGCCTGAGCTACACTCAGTTCATGCATCAAATAACAACTAAAGTGAACTCTATTGATGTCAAATTGAAGAGTCGACAATACTGCCGTGACCTCAGCTACGAGGAAGGGGAATATACTACGCCCCAATGCGCTGCTGTTCTTGTTAGTGACATGAGCTGCGACAAGCAGTTTGAGTTTGAGGTGGATGTTGAGGTCAGAAACACAGGAAGCGTCGATGGAAGTGATGTGGTGATCGTATACTCGAGGCCTCCCAGAGGCGTCGCAAGGACTCATTCCAAGCAGGTGATAGGGTTTGAGAGGGTCTTTGTGCCAAAGGGACAGACCCAGAATGTGAAGTTTGTCTTCAATGCTTGTAAGAGTTTGATGGTGGTAGAGAGAAATGGTTACAGCCTTCTGCCGTCCGGGATACACAGCATAATCGTTAATGATGATGAGGCTTCAACTCCAATCCAAGTGAACATTCATTAGCTARGCATTAGGGTAGTCTGAGAAATGTGTTGCAGATTTAGGTGATTAGAATGTAATTGCACTCTAGATCTTAGTGTACTTAGTAGGATCAGGAATATAATATAATGAGAGTTGAGTTCTTTGTTATCAATATATAGTTGGTTTTTAGATAAATTGTTTTATAAATGGAATAGAATTTAATTGTTTATGCGTTGAAAAGAACAGCTAAAAAATGAGACTAGAATGGCGGAAAAGATGATTCATGATTGTGCGCTTTATGCAACCCAAGCCTTGGATTGGGCCAGTGGTTTCTTGCAATTTTAGTGGTACATAATGGGGTTTTCCATTTATCAGCCAAAAGCATTAAGGGTTGCACAGTTTGATAACTCAAGCCCACCAGGGCAAAAGGAAACGAGCCAAAACAGTAAGTACAGTACTTCAAAGATCTCTTAGTAGGTTTTGTTTGGAACGGGTGCTGCCATATAGGCTGTTTTATGAAAAAATAGCACTGGTTTTATTTAGTACCAGTGTTGGTAGAAACATTTTCAATATGATTTATATTATCCAACGTTCAAGATGATGCCACATCATTGCATCACTGGCAGTAATGTACAGTTTTTTCATCCAGATCAAACTTTCTCGATCTCCAAGAGGAACAATTTTTTTTTTTCTTCTGGAAAAATCAAACAAAATGGTATTGTTTGAAGCACCCACTTAATAAAAACAAAAGAACAACCACCCAGCAAAATGTCGGAAAGGATCACTGCATCTCTCATACCCATAGAGAGAGCCAGGCGGAGACCAAGTGGTAAGTAATGTGTTCATGTGTTTATTCATATGGCTTTCCCTAAACTTGTTAGAATGAAACAATTCAAATCAATTAAATAGGGTGATTAATGGTCTTGCAACTGAACATTTAATCTCCATGTAACACCTGGTCAGGTGTTTCAAATGGTAGTGCCATTGTCGTTCCTCAATTTAAAGAGGTTTCCAACCCTGAACTCCGTGTGTTTTTTTTATTAAGAAAGGCTTCCCCATGAGCCAAAAAGGAAAGGAGGCATCAAGGTTGTGAAATTCTAGTTTCCGACTTATTTATTATCAGAGTAAGATTGATAATGCATGGCTCCTTTCTAACTTTTGTTGTTTAGTCGAAATTTGAATTAACTGAATGAGGCTTTACTTTTGGTGTGGATATGTAAAGTTTGGGCCCAATATGAAATTGAATGAAAATGAGCTATTGGCCCACTAAGAAAAGGATAACAAAATTTGGGCCCAAAAAAGATGTTGGATAGGGCCCACTACAAATCAAAGTGAATATCAATGAGCACCTAATTTTGAGACAAATTCCACCGTAGTGGCAATTACAGAGGTTTTCTTAAACTCTCAAATCTTGTTAGAGAGATCCCCTCTAATCAACTTGGTGGGACCCACATTTAAATGGTAATTAATATGGAAAAAAGGTTTAGATGGCCAAGATATGTTCTGGTTATTGGCCTAACTGGCCAAACAAGATTTCTCTGTAAGTGGATTTAATCCCTTGGCACTTAGCTTTCAAGCATGCCAGCCCCATATGGTAAGGCTACACATGGTGCGTGATCACCCAATTACCGTTCCAAATCCCAATGTTTAGGTGATAATAAAATGACAAATCAACCAAAAATATTTTCAAACTAATGTGACGGGTTTGGATTAAATCGTAATTGACATTTAAAGGACTTCAAGTGACAAAATAAAAGGGGAAATGACAGTTGGTTAATTGATAACTGGCTGAATGGTATTTCCTTTTATGTGAGCCCTCCACGGAATCATAAATATTGATCCTATGGCCTTAACTCATGGGCACCAACTAGATCTTAGTAAGATGTCCCCATTAATAGATTGCCGATAATGGATTTAGAGTGATAAAAAAGAATCACATTAATAGTTGGAGGATATAATGGGACCCATTTAATGGAGATTAATATGCAGTAATTGACAATCGGGTAAGAGAAAATTAAGGTCGGCTAGCAAATCTATTGAAGATCACTAATTACATTCCCTTTTAGAACACGAATTTCAAAATTGAAATGGGGCGGACTCTTCAAATGAACCCAATTCATTATAAAAGGGGAGATGGGATGAGAAGAATGACCCCCCCTTGGAAAGAGGAGAGGTGATCGGGAGGATGAAGAGAGCTGGTTCGTCTACAGAGAAGAGAAGATAAAAATAATAATAAGAGAATGAAGCGAGAAGATAGAAGAATTTGGAAGAAGTCTAGTTCATGTGCCGATGTTGAACTGATGAAGTTTCAAATTAAATGTTGTTAGCCACGTGCATGTTGAGAGATTTTAAACTGAAAGCATTCTCTCCTCTTCGGCTCTCTCCAGCAATTCCCAAACAGAAATTCGGCTTCTCAATCTGTGAAGCTTCAAAACTGCTGCAGTCCCGTGTCATGCGAATCGAAGAATTTGATCCTTTGAGTTGATGTATTCAAAGAAAACCCCCATCAAATTACTGCAAACAATAAATCTTCTATTAAATTGTTGTAGTCAAGAAGATTTTCGTCAAATCTTTACAAGGGACCTCCTACCATCAAAGACATCAAGCTTTACGGGTCATGTTCGTAACAAGCCAAATGCAAGTTCAATCGTGTTCGTGACAAGAGAATCAAAGGGTTTTCTTTGCCAAGAAAAAAAAAGAATTTGTATCCCACTTAAATTTCTTTGAATTTGTCCGCATTGATTTTGTGCTCCAAATTTAGAACGAAATTTGTGTTTACACTTGGCTCCTTCCATGGTTGAACAAAAGCATTCAACCACTTGTTGATGTTTACATTTATAGTTTTATCACTAAACCATTCACCCCTAACCTTGTGATAAGGGACATAGCCTGGGTTGGGCTTCATTCCGGGCCTAAACACAAAACCTAGACCCGACCCTAGAATTTATGGTCTACAATTTTTGGGCTTTACTTAGGGATATTCTAAGACAATATGTAAATAGCAAGGGTAAAGTTAGTCAATTAGTTAAACTATAAGGATACGTAGTTTAAGAAATTTGCCCTTTTAGTTATAATAAATGCTAATTATTTTATATCAAATACAAAATTTTTAAGTTTTATTTTAGGGTAAATTACAAAGACCCCAGACGTCAGTGACAAAGAGCCCCCTATACTTTAATTTCTCACAAAGACTCCCCTGAACTTTTATATTATGACAAATACACCCTCAGTTGTTAAGTCAGATAACAAGGCATTAAATAACTATCAAAATACCCTATTAAACTTTCTATATTTTCTTTTTCTTGTCATTTTCTCTCAATACCTAATTAACCCAAAAATACCTTTAATCATCCCGAAAAACCCAAAAAAACCTTTAATTGTTGTTGGAAAAGAAAAAAAATCTATGACAAATTTATTGGTGACCCAAAAATACCCTTGTGCTCATGTTCTTTTATGAAAAATAACATAAATATAACTGATGCTGTTGTGACAGTACTGAAACAGATCTCAATTCACATAGGCGACCTCAAATCAGTTGGAAAAGACATTCTTAAGTTTATGGATGTAACCATTATCACAAAAGGCAAAGATTACATATAATAAGTCCTTTGCAAAAATTACAAGTTTACATTGTCTAACTCTGACCCCAACAATACCAGAGGTTTGACTGCTAAACTTCTAGCAACACAACATAGCACCATTAATTGTTTGGATGAGTTATAAAGACATTGTCATATGATTGTAATATTTTTCCCTTCGATGCATTTTCCTTCTCTGCATTCAGCCTTATACATAAAACTTCTGTTCCATCAAATAATCCTCAGTTTCATCTGAAAGGTGTTATAATCCAAGGTAAAAGAGGACCGCAAGAGTCCCCCAATACATATTGAGGAACCAAATTGCCCTCACTCAACTTAGAGGGAGGTCCATTCAACAGTTCTTAATTAAAGAATTTCGTCTGGTATAAGATGGTGCACGGATTTGTTGAACTCGACCAATCAGCAGAAATGTCCAAGAACCTACCTTCAGAATCCACCAACACTTGTACAATAATGGCCTCATCCTTCCCTAAACCATTTGCATTAATATCAAATTTACTGAAGCCCAGAACGCCACAACGGTTCAGGTGCAAAATCCAACTAAAACCTTTAGTTGTTCTCTTAAAATCAAAGGTTAACTCAAAGCTGATCATTGTTCACCAACTTACAGACAGTGTAGAAAACACGACAGGAACCAGCTGAGTCAAGGCCAAATCGCCTCCCAACTGAATTGAATGGAGTGGCGTGAGCCAACCGGAAAAGATGAGTGGGCGGCGGTGGTGGCAGAGGCCACAAGAGAGATGCTCATGGCCTTGGATTTTAATTTCTCTTTACATCTTTTGCCGGCGGGGTCGTTCTTCCTTTCCCTGTTCCCAAGCTAATTTCTGGAAAGAGTAATTTAAGAATTTAAAAAAATTAAATAACTGAATAAAAATCTTTCTTAAAGTTAACTAACGGAACACTAACAAAGGGGGTCTCTCTCTAATGGTTAAAGTTTAAGGGGCACTTGTTGTATAGGGGTCTTTGTCACTGACCCTATATAGTACAAGGCCGTCTTTGTAATTTATCCTTTATTTTAATATATAAATAAATATATATATGAATTAACACATGTATTTATTAGGGTAAATTACAGGTATCTACCATATACTTTGGGGGAGTAACAGATAGGTACCCTGAACTTTCAATTGCAATAATTAAGTACCCTAAACTTTCAAAAATTGACACTTGAGTCTACTTGTTAATATTCTGTAAATTAAACATTACATAATGTCAAAAGTATCATTTTCATATAATATTAAGATCATTTTACGAAATAAAATCATCAAAGAATGCCATTGTCAGAAAATTTGAATATGTTATTTATTGTACATATGAAAACATCATTATCGAGAAACGTTCAATTACCTAAGAATGATCTTAGAAATATATGATAAAGGTATTTTTGACATTGATGTAGGCGCAAATGGCCCTGTCCAATCGCAGGACTCATACGTGTCGGGCAGCGCGCATCAGAGCAAAGCCAATTAGCGAACGCGCATTGCCCAGTTCAACGGAAATCGAGGAACCAATGGCACGGGACCACTTGGC